ATATCATAATGTTATTGAAATCTCAGCAGTCCAGGTTTATGTAATATTACAAATAAGCTTATCACGACAAAAAGTGTTCACGGATATGTATTACGCTATAAAACCAGATCAATAATAAATGCGCAACGCGAACATACTCATAAAAATTATTTTATTAAATTATATCATTAAGACAAGCTAACTTTTTCTCGTATTTCATTAAAATCATTGTGCATTTTTACTTCTTGCTGTAATTATCAGTTATTAAATTATTTTCACAGTTACCGCATCAAGAAATCTATACACACTTATACATCAAAAAATGTTAGTACACAGAAAGAGATTTTGGTTTATAAAGGTCTAATTCGTGCTGTAGATATTCATCGGAAATCTATGACGTAGGTATCTACATATTCTGTAATAAATATATAAGATTCGTAATAACATACATTTGGTTTTAGATTCTCCAACTATTTTATATCGAGATTTCAATTCTCATTCATGTTATTAATAACAGTTGGAGTTCTAACTACAAGTCTAAATATTTTTCGAGTAGGTACGTCTCGTCTTTTACAAATCCATAGTAATGATTTGCATATTTCGTTACGTTGCTTCAGATTAATAATCTTAATATCTTTTTTTAACAAACAAAATTGATAGAGATGAGATTAATATTTTAAGGATAACAATTTATGGAACGATTATTTAAATTTAGATTTTTAGATATTACAGACATACATTTATTGACCCAATTTTTTTATTTTCAAATCCGGATTTTGAACTACTAGAATATCAGCTTCAAATATTAAATAAAAATGATTATATGGAAAATAAGATATAACTATTAATTTTAATTCCAAAAATTCACTTTACACGTAGTTTCTGATTTTTAATAATATAATATCAAGTTTTTGGTACCTCCAAATTAATTTATAAATTGTTATAATATTTGTTTAAAATATAATATATACAGGGTGTTTCCAAATTAAATGGCAAAACTTCGGGAGCGTGTAGAGGAGTAAAAAACTAAGAAAAAAAGTCCTATAGACATATGCTCCTTTTTGCTTTGTTTCGCAGGAAATCACGAAAAAAGAAAAAAATATATTTAATTTATTATTTTAATTATTTTATTTATAAATTTTTTAATGAAAATTTTGTTCGAAATGTACACCTCTTGCAGCAATACAAGCATTGCATCTGTCAAACACGGCTCTTGTAGCAGCCAGGCACTGTTCTTGCGATATTCTGTTCGCTGCAGCTACGAT